ACTATTTAGGAACTCCTCAGGAGGTTCTAATTTTCTGTCACACCAACGAACCGTTTCAGTCGCATGTTTCAGGAACTTCAGCTGACTTTTAAACCCACAGGAAACCTTCAGTGTGGATTCAGCTGCAGCAAGCGTCCCATACAAAGTGCCTGCAATTAAGAACCAATGATTAGCTGCTATCTGTTTTTCTGTGCACACACTTGTGTGCTGTAAGCAGCATGGCTTGTTATGAACTTGTCTGCAGCTTGCGTGTGTGTATAACAGTGTGTGTGGTTCATCCAGTCATCACAGATCTCCTCTCTGCCAGTTTCTTAATTTTTCCTGACGTTTGCAACCATGCACACATTTTCTCACAGGACTCATGCACGTGCATTCCTACTTTATACCCCTGTGGTTTGCACAAGACTAACCCATTAAAGGCTTGTGGCTATTCCAGACCATTCTGTGGTCACCTGACAACCCAAACTGAAGTTGAACCTCTGGAGATTTACAACGTGCCAGAGCTTTCCAGCACTCCCAGTTTTATATTTTCAACCTCCTCTTTCCACGCGTCGGCATACACGCCTGATAATGCCGACTGAAGGAGGTCGTCATTAGAGGATTAAAGGAATTCTAACACATTTGCACACGTCACTACCTTGTTTCCTGTTTTCCACATATGTGTCCCTCCATGATCACTCGCTTGGTGTACATATGGTGGCCATCTGGCCTGGCACAATAGTGCAAAAACCTGCCCGACGATCCATGTACAGAAACAACATGATTAACCCTTAACGGCCGAGAAGAAGCACCATCATGATCAATTTCAGCTCTTTTTTAAAAAAAATCTTTACATTTCGATTCCCTGATTGCCCTTTTGAGTCACCTACAGCGCTCAAACCTGATCTTAAGCATATCCCTGACTTGCTTTGTTGCACCTGTTTGTGCAGAGCAATCACAAATGGCCAAATCAGAGCTCCCCCTCTGTTGTCTCTGCTTCTAATCTTTGCGTGAAACCCAAAGCCAGAGTTCCTGCAGAGCTGAAGTATGTTTGGGGAAGTGTGTGTCTCTGTGTGTCCAACCAAAATAGATTTAAATGCAGGGTAGGAGCCGTGTTGAGGTCTGCGTTCCTGCCCTGCAGCTTTAGTCGACCCTGGGACAAGTCAGTGGGATCCGAACTGCAGTAGTCTGCCCTCACGGAGACACTCGGAGGGAAAAGAGTACAAATAGAAATTAGGAGCATTGAATGCTACTTTTTATTCAAGGTCACATGGATGCTGTCTCGTAAACTGACCTGAGAGGAAAAACTGTTGGGTTCAAAAGAAAAACAAAATGACTGATTAACCTCTCGTGCTCATGTTCATGCACTTAGAGATGCTGCAAATAGATGCAAAGAACTGATGTTTTCAGCACATTCCTTTGGTTCAAATTTTTGTTATTTGTAAACATTCAGAAAAAATGCTTAAATGAAAAGGTGCATCTTTGCTTTTTGAGGATGATGCCATTCTGTTTTCTCCAAATTTGGAAAATACATTTCCTTACCCAGAGGAGGGTGGATTGCAGCTTCTCGGGTGGGAATGAGCTTCTGTGGCCTGAGGCAGTGTTTGACTCTGCAGTGATGTGAGCGCGTTACTAGTTAGTTAGGATCAACACAGTCTTGACCCAGTCTTTTGAACTTTTGTTTCTTTGCAAAAGTCAAAATGAGCAAAGCAGCATTTGGTTTGTCCTTCATGGGACACTGTTGAAACGTGGAATTCTTCATTTGTTTAAATGACGTTCATAATTTTTGTGATGCAGGTATGCAACAATGAAAAGCCATTTCTGATCATTTTAATGCATTTCTATAGACAACTTTGTTTGGTGAGGAGACAAAAAGGTCAACCAAACTGAGTGGTTGCACGTGGTGTCTTATTTTATGTGTCACTCAGCGAACAAATGTCAGTCTTCTACAGCTGGATTAGAGCAGGAAAAAGCATTCCTGATGCACACCTAAAACACATTATTCATGTTCTATAATATAATCAGATTTAAAAAGTACACCTTAACCCTCTATTTTTTTCACATGATGTCTATTTTTTTTATTTTGAATTTGATGGGCAGCATTTGGCCACACTAATGTTTGCGGTGCAGCTGTCTATCAGAGAGCACGACTGAGACACACTCAGTGACATCTTAATGGAAACTCCTGTGTACTTATTACTTCTTCTCCAGTGACAGAGTCTTGCTGGCGGCACCGTCCAGTCCACTCTCTTCAGCAGAGCTGAATACGGTAGCTGCCATATGGTGAACGGGGCACCTCTCTTTATACAGAGACAGGTGCTGAATGACATCCTTCATTATACATACGGCTTGAAACAATAAATATCAGCGTATCATTATGACCAGTAAACCACAGGAGCAGCTTTGTGCCTCTTTGGAAAAGCCGAGGACGTTACTTTTCCAAGAAGACCGTGTGCTTAGTGGAATCAGGAAGAGGATATTCACAGAGAGGAGTGCTAGCGCCAGCACAAGAGCTCCATCAGCTCCTCCCTGAGGGTAGACAGTGCCTTGCATTAAGATGGTTACAGAGTCACCTTCCCTCAGTCCATCCTGAGAGCAAACACCACTTCACTGTCAGATGGGCTTTCCTTCTTCTTCCCCTGAAATAAGGTTGACAAAATGAAGTAAAACGTAACAGGATTGTGCCTTTTCTCTTTAATTTGCAATCACTATATATATATTTATATATATATATAAATATATATATATATATATATATATAAATATATATATATATATATATATATATATATATATATACATATATATATATATGTATATATATATATATATATATATATATATATATATATATATGTATATTATTATTATTATTACATGTTTATGTATAAAAAGTACATTAACTTCTGTATACCCTCATCTATTTAATGTGATGGTGTCAAATCCTGCTGTCTGATGGGTATCATTGTATCTCTCTTCTTATTTTTGTTTCTTTTTTTTAAGCCAGTTTGCAGACAACATGAGGTTCATTACCACCACCTATTTGGAGTGTGGACTTCTCTTCAGTCTCCCCCCCCCCCCTAAATCCTCCTTCCCACCTTCATGATAAAACTGTCCCCAGTCTTTAACATTTCTCTGACTTCTAGTCTGCACCCCTACCTTCTTAACTCTGTCTTAACCAGCCATCTCCTCTTGGAGGTTTATCTGGTTCAACACACCAGATTTTACTCAGTGGGTCATTCAGAGGTGTCTGCAGAGCTTGAAGATGTTGAACCAGGTGTGCTGGAGCAGGGAAACAACTGAAACCTGCTGGATTGTGGAACTTACCGTAAAGATCAGGATTTGACACCGCTGCACATACAGGGCAAGTGTTGGTTGTACAGCTGTGACTAGCACACATCTGGAGAATATTTCAGTGGATTTTGGGGCGCTACCCACACCTTTAGCTCTGTTGACCATCATTAAGGATTAAAAATATAACATTTCTCATCCTCTGTGTCCTTATCAGTCTCTGAGTAATGTGTTCCCATGTTCTTAAAAGCACCATTGCAGTTCCCTGATGATCGCAGTCCGTTGTTCAAACAGCTCTCTTAGATCTGTCACATGTTTTTACATTCTGGATTTTTTATTATTCTTTCCAGCTATTCAGTAAAAAACCTATTGCAAAGCAACAATTAACAAAACATTTTCAGTTTTCTCTAGATTTTGTTTTGTGTTTAGATCTTCATCAGTCTTGAATTTTCATCATGTAACAAGAAAACAGAAGATTGTTCTGAGTTGCATGACTTTAAACAAAAAAATCAGATAAAGCAATACTTATTACCTTTAATTTTAGGATTTAACACAAGCTTTTTGGCTGAGCTAATGAATGCAACAACGTTTTCCCTGATAACCTTTCATCTTTAGTTTAGGTCAGCTGAAGAAGGTGAACCATGATTTCTGTAGACCTAAAATGAGCTTTTTACCTGGACGTTTAATTGTCTGAAAGGTGGGGAGTGTTTTAGACCTCCTTATGTTTGAGATGGTGCATAACGAGCTGTAAAAGCAAGATAAAAAATAATAATTCCAGACTAATTCTGGAGAATTAAAGAGAAAGCTTATTTTTTTGCCTTAGCCGAACTTCTGACTGAAATCTGCAGACGTTCAGGAAACCATGCTGGTGCTGTTCCTTTCACCTTGTAAAATAAATAAATCTCCCATCTGATCTGGAAAGAGTTGTGCCTCTGTAGCAACTCATTGAAATAAAGTATTCGTATAGGTGATTGTTTTGTGAAATATAAAAATAGATTTCAACATTTGCAGCGTGCTAGCTGAAGTGTTCACAGGTTTTAATTAAAGTATTTTGCTGACTTTTAGCTCACAGCTTTCTTTAGAAGCAGGGTTTTATGAGCAACACTTTGGTTCCCATGAAGAATGTCATGTTGGCCACAGGCAGCATGCACATGAATTCAGCAGCACATTATGAAAGTGCAAAGCTGCTTTTCTCCCCCTGATTAAAGGGCAGAGCAAATCGTGTCTGCTTTTAGCGATTCCTTAATTTGACACCCAGAAAAAAAACAAGAAGAAAAAACAAGGAGGGTGCAGCAAGAAGCTGCAGGGAATCTGATTTTAAAAGGAAAATCTGTCAGCAGAGTGAAATGGAAAAAATTCCTCATTGCTTTCAGAATGAGGAGAAAGTGTCGATAATGAAACTGCATAAAAAGTATTACACATGATTACATTTGGGACCATCTCTGGCAGTTATGATCGGGCTCATAATTACTGCACTGCTTCACCTCCGCTATACTTGCAGCCCCATTCTGACTCGGTGCCGATGATTAAACAAACAGCCCCTTCGAGGTCTTTTGTGCTATTGCTATAATGCACAAATGTATAATAAAAACTGCTTTCTTCAGTTTTTATGAGTTAAATTATAACATTAACATGTCTGATAGTAATGCATAAAATATGAGGTAATGTTTAAAGTCTCGTTAGCTGTTTTACTCCATTGTGTCACTGATGAAACTTTCACTTTCCCTCAGGCGTGCTGAGCCTACCGGAGGGTCTGACTCTTCACAGGGACCAGCAGCAGCAGCGAGGTGGGAAAAGCGGGGATGGGAACAGCTACAGTCAGACAGAACTGAGATCCACTGAGCAGTGCTTACTGGCCACGAGGGTGGGGAGCATCTCTGAACTCAGTAAGTTACATGTGCATGTGTGTGTGTGTATGCAAATGTGTATGTGTGTGTGTGTGTGTGTGTGTGTGTGTAGTCACGATTCTGCATAATCTAAGTTTAGTTTCTGTATTTCAGTAGAAAAACATGAACTAGATGAAAACTAGAGGGAAAAACTCATAAATATATATTTTTGTTAGCTTGTAACGATCCAGCAAAGAGCTAGTTGGCATCTGGCCTTTTTTTTCTTCTTTCCCTTTTCAACACCTTCATCACCACATGTAGAGACTTCCCCCCTGTTCCTCAAGCCTGTTCACTCCTTTCAGCATCTCTCACCTCCAACTTTAAACCTCTCATGTTCCCTCTCTAAAAGTTTTAGCCAACTAATCTTGCCTTTCCATTTTCGCATCCAATTTGCAACCAGAATTTGTGCTCTGATGAAGCACTGTGCAGAAGAGCGTTAATCTCGTTAAGAAAAATGGTAAACCTTTACAAAAGCCACAACTTTTGCACAGGTATATTATTGAGATCATCTGTCTGACCTTTTCTTCACTGTGGCTGCCTCCACCTCCATTGCCCATGGTGTCCCACAAGGTTCTGTGCTAGGGCCTCTATTGTTCCTCCTTTATTTGCTCCCTCTCCAGCACATCCTGAGCTGTTTTCAATGAACGTCCTACTATGTCTATGCAGATGACATTCAACTGTTGATCGCCTTTAAGCCCTATGAGATGTCTAAGCTGCAGCTGCTGCACACTTGCTCAGATGCTACTAAAAAGTGGCTTTTCCTGTAACCTCCTATTCATCCTCCTCCTCCTCACACGATTCTTTTCATTTCGGTGTTTCTGTCAGTTCTGTGGTTTTGGCTCTCGTGCTCAACTTTTAACTTATTTTTTGTCCTTGTGACTTTTTTCTTGACAAGTGCTATATAAAAAATCTTCTTCTTCTTTTTCTTCCCTTTGACCTGCTGGTTAACCACTTGTTAGAGAACATTTGTGTCCCTGAGCATTCACTGAAATAAACTGTAAAGAAAACATCAATAATAAAAAATGATGGGGTTGTTTAAATAATTTAAAATAGGACTTTTTGGACTGGAAAACAAATATTTAACTATTTAACTTGTTGCTGTTTTGTTTAACTTAATACCAAAACCACCAACCTCATTAAAAATCTTGCTGAATCTGTACATTTAAATGTCACTAATGACTGATATGATGAAGCATTTAAAATGATGCCTAAATGGCTTCTACCCATGAATCTCTGTGGCCCAATCCCGGCCCATTTAAATGGATGTGAATCACTGGGAGTTGCATTGTCACTGACAACCATTCTAATGAACCACGGAGATTCATTAAAATGAATGAATCTGGATTATATATTTGACAAGTCCTCCAAAAGTTAATTGAATATCCATCGTCTCACAGTGTTTCCATTATTTAGAAAATAATGGGCACCACCATGCTTTCTGAATGCATTGATACAGTATTAAGTCATTTACATGAGCTATACAAGTCACGATTATATTATGGTAATACAGTTTTTGCATCATTATAATAATAAAAAGCGCTGATTGTGTTTTATTGTGTCATGCTCAAGAAATGGAAAATATTTGTATATATATAGAGAAGGTTTAACCCAGGACAACCAGGAAAGTTTCTGACAAATGCAGCTAATCTCTCTAGAGTAAGGTGCGTTCATGATCAGAAATGATCATTTACTCTGATTTCTGTTCATGTTTACAAGCAGCTCTGCATGGATTATAACACATAAGGTCCAGGAACATGAAAGTACTGATTTTCTGGCATCTGTTTTATTGTAAGCAAGAGAAAAATTCAGCCTGTGAATAAAAATCTGTATCCATTATAAACCAAAATCAGGAATTCTGTTCTTCCCTGTGTGCTTTTCTCTGGACTGACGAGCAGCTGCAGCGTTGCGACTGATTTGCAGTCCTCTTTATTGATGAGGTCAAGCAGGGATCCAATCTGTTGTGTTGACATTGCAAACACCATCAGACAACAGAGCCGCTGACAGACACAAACATCACTTAGTCCAGTTGTAATGTTAGCACCTCGTAGGAGGAGTTCTGTAGATAACAACAGGATCTGCAAACAATCTCAGAGTTTCAGCTAAAAGAAAAAACAAGTCAGTTTTGATTGGGTTTAAACTTCTAAAACAGATATGAACGACGAAGTGCACGGAGGAATTAGCATCCTGTCAGTCTTTTACACTGACATTTAGACTCGATTTTGGAGGTTTGTCACTGATTCTGTTTTCTTGTTTTCTCTTCTGCTAAAATGCCAAATTAGCATATTTGAAATCACATCCCAGCAAACTGTGCATCACCGAGGTAGCTCTTCCTCAGATATGTTCAGTTTGTTGTAACCCAGTATGTTGCTAAATTTAGACAAACTGAATCTATCTTAGATGGGATGTATAAATATGCGTATGAAAAGCTATACATGCTGAAAGCACCAATAACCGAGTTCATGCTGGTGGACCACAGTCATGAAGCTCAATGTCCACCAGGATCTCAGAGGAATACTTTAAAATGATAAAAGGCCTAATGATATAGGCCTATATTTACCTGCATGATCGAGTCTACCATCTATCTATCTATCTATCTATCTATCTATCTATCTATCTATCTATCTATCTATCTATCTATCTATCTATCTATCTATCTATCTATCTATCTATCTATCTATCTATCTATCTATCTATCTATCTATCTATCTATCTATCTATCTATCCATCTATCTATCATCTATCTATCTATCTATCTATCTATCATCTATCTATCTATCTATCTGTCTGTCTGTCTGTCTGTCTGTCTGTCTGTCTGTCTGTCTGTCTGTCTGTCTGTCTGTCTGTCTGTCTGTCTGTCTGTCTGTCTATCTATCTATCTATCTATCTATCTATCTATCTATCTATCTATCTATCTATCTATCTGTCTGTCTGTCTGTCTGTCTGTCTGTCTGTCTGTCTGTCTGTCTGTCTATCTGTCTGTCTGTCTGTCTGTCTGTCTGTCTGTCTAAAGATTGATCTTTTGATCGTCTGTCCATGAAATTATTTATCTATCTATGGATCTATCAATTTATGGATCTATCAATTTATGGATCTATTTATATATTGATTAATCTATTGATTAACCTATCGATGTATTGATTTATCTATTGATTAATCTCTCATAAAGATGATGAAACACTTTGTATACATTGCTTTTGAATTTACACACGAATTAACTCAGAGTTGGTGTCCTTTCCAAAATGAATTCATCTTTGTCTGCAGTCTTATTCATTGTTGTTGTTTCTCTCAAATTAATGGATGTGGGACTGTTTCTCTATAAGCATCTCCCTCCGGAATGAAGGGAGGTTGCTGCTAATGACAATTAGTTTTTTCAATAGTCCTCTTTTAGAGTCATGCCATTGTGGAAACAGTTTAAAGTTTAAAGTTGTAATTTCGTTTAACCCCTTGAAAAAAAGAAGATTGCAACCACTGACCACATGTAAAAAAGCCAAGGTTGTCAAATTTAAAGCCAAATGCTAAATGGAATATATTTAAACCAATATGCTGTTTTCATGTTCTCTTGCTAATGCAAAAGTGTATTTTTAACTGAATCATTAATCTCTGGTGCGACCGCTGCAGTCGGCCATGTTCTCACATATCGTTTCAGTGAATATTCGTAGAAATTTCACATTCACGGGTGAAAACTATTTAAGAAAGACCCCAGAGTCTGCTGACGAAGAGACGTGCATCACATGATGTGCACTTTATACCAAAATAACATTTCTAGTTCTGCAGGGCTGGCTTAATGTCCTCATTTCTGTCACCGGTCATTATGTTCGACAGAAAACGAGAGCCAGCGTGGTTTACGGAGGTCCTTTGTTTTATCTGATATTTAGGATAGTTGGTGGTTAAAAGTTTTGCTTGTTTTCAGATGAACAAAACAAAAAAAGACACATTAGCTTTTATCTTATTGAGTAAGTGCAGCCACAGGGAGCCATTAGGAGTAATCACATAGCATCAGATCATTGAAACTGAGAAACTGGGATGATTTCAACAGCTGCCAGGGCAGCAAAAACCTGCTCATCAGCATGCAGAAAATAACAAACGTGGTTACTGTCTTTATTTTTGTGAAAAACGTCTCTGCTCCTTTGCATATCAGTTCATTTCCACATTTTCAGCAAATCAACAATTTCTCTTGCTATTAAACATTTAACTTAATGCCCTGTATCTGAAATAATGGGCTGCTTGGATTGGTGTGTGGGTGCTCCATTAGCTGTTCCTGACCTCGGAGGAGCCACCTCTTTAAGATCCTCTCTTAAGTCAAAGACCCGTCTCTCGTGCATTTTTGGGTTTTTGATAAATGAAACATAAAAAAAATTGAATGCTAAATAACCTTGCTGATAAAAACATAATCTACTGCTTGATCTGGTTAGCTTGATTGCTTGGTGTTCCATTCTTATTAAATTAAGGAATTAACAATTCAGTATGAGGTATTGATTAATGCCTAAACCGAGTAGATATTGATGATTTAAGCTCAGTAAAATAGTATGTTTCTATATGCAAGTAAAATGTGCATAGAACAGACTACGTCCTGGCAAAGAACTATCAGATGTTTTCACTGATCCTAAAGCAGATTTTAGAAGAAAAAAGTAAAACGGAAAATCACGTAAGTTAGAAAAGAAAATTCCCTCAGATGTTTAAGTAGAGAAAGTCAGATTTAGGTATTTCTCTTGCCAATTTTTTGTCTTTTTTTACTAAAATGACAACAAAAAGAATGGATGCAGAACATTTCTGAAGATGAATCCATTTTGTGAACTCCTAAATCTTAATTTTGTACACTGCTCAGTATTAAAATCAATCATTTAACCAAAGATAGTCAAACAAACCAATACACTGACCACATATTAAAAATAAAACAGGTGAAAAAAACACTCTTTGGCAATAATGTTTTAGAGATGTTGTTTTTCTGGACTATCCAAAAACATTTAATCGATTTCTGCAGCAGCAGAATGTCCGGATGTGTCAGTTTCAAAATAAACTTTACTGAAGATGCAGATGCGCTAAGTTTCAAATGCCAGCAATAATCCAGTTCATAATAAAAGCTTAAGACACACTTTTTATAATTAGACTGTAAAAAAAGGTCATATTAAAACAACACCTACTATGATATATTTTATCACAGAGTGCATTTATTCTGCAGAAACATAATATTAAAGTCTTTCTAGTTTTATTCCTGGTTCCTTTTTATTTTATGGTTCTTTTCATTATAAAACGACAGTTTGGAGAAAGCACAACATACATTGTTTCTGATCATCCCTCCATCAGCACAGCAGCAATCGTCCCAAAGGACGGTTTAGAGGTTTTATTGCATGACTGCGTTTTCCTCACTGAGCTGTCCTTTTCTCACGTCCCTCTCACATCGTCGAGAGCTAAATTGAATTTTAGCAGTTTTGATTCAAACAAACCTTTTTTTCTTAAGGAACGTCTGCGTGACGCACGTACAGTAAACCCCTTTTACAAGGGCGTCAGTTTGTTTTCAGAATTGCTGGGGACAATAACCATACACTTGAGTGGGGTTTAAAAATTGCTGGGGACAATAAAGTAGGCTAGCACAGGGGTCAGCGGCTCTGGAACCGCATGCGGCTCTTCCATCCTTCTGATGCGGCTCTCTGTGCTTGTGAAGTAATGAATGGATATTTAAATAAAAAGCTTTATATTTTACTGCATTAATTTTACATCTGTATGCTAATTCTAAATGTAAAGATTGTCTGCGTAAACCTGAACAGTTCCAACCCGGTCTTACTGTGAGACCGGGTTGATGCGTCACGCTTGTGCGTAATCATATCGGCGCTTCTGAGCTGCTTTCTGACCTTCCCCACCTACAAAGTTTAATTACAACAATCAAACGTGACAGAGCCTGGATTTGTATTCTGAACAGTCTAAACATGTTTTAAAAAGAAACATAGGACAAAAGTGGCACCTGCTCAGTAAAACCATCAACAGGGTGAAAAATACCAAAAATTGAAGGCAGAGACGGGCTACAACTTCTGGATCCATTTTATATAAATTGTTTTATTGATTATCGTCTAACGAAAGATAATTAAGACGTACATGAGCGATCAGGCGCGTTGCAAGCTTTTCAAAAGTGTGGGGGATGTTGTCTGTGCCTAAAATAATTTCATGTTATTCATCTTGTTAGTTTAATTTCCGTAATAGCGGAGCAGGTGCGAATTTTAGACGCGTCACGCACGTCTCCGTTTTAAACATGTTTAAACTGTTCAGAATACAAATCTAGGCTCTGTCTCGTTAGATTGGTGTAACTAAAGTTTGTACTGAATGAAACTTTACATTAAACCATGTTGAAAAGTAAAGGATCCGATTAAATAGTTTCCCCCTCATTTACAGTCAGTACAGCGCAGTGCGCACGGCTCTGGGGTTAATCAAGTTTAATTGTAACATTAATGTGTTACTGGACACGCTGGTCTGGTTGGTTAGACCAGTGTTTGATGTGGAAAACACACACACACACACACACACACACACACACACACACACACACCAATTAAAATAATGCTGATAGCGTGGATAGAAGACAGGTGATGGTTTACGTATTTAAATGATGATCAGGCTGCTGTAAAATGTAATCTCCATCCACATCCAGACACAATCATCCTCTATTCTTTCTCTATTTGCTCTGCTTTTGTCTGGGCTGATCAGCTGATGGTGCGCGATGGTGGAGAGGTGGACTGGATGCTTTGCGTTTACTGGAAGTTGGTCCACTTAACGCACGGTTGTAGACTAAATATTAATGACAAATGAAGGAAAATTAAATTGTGAGTTTTTACTTCATATTTTAGAAATAAAAATGACTGGGGAAAACATTTATGACGTCTTTTTAAACTAAATTTTCTAGCGCGACCTGCCTGCTTCACTTAAGTCACTGCTTATTAAGGTCCGTCCAAAATTACCGTGGCCCACCCAAAAATGAAAACCTGGCGCCGCGCCTGTTATAAACCTCTGCAAATTGTTGTTCTTCACTTTATCAAACTCAGACTTTGTACAGCTAAATTCAAGATGTAAAATTATGAATTCAGTCGAGCTCTTCCGTCCCTCCCTCTCCTGCTCTCCTGGAAACCCGACATCGGTTGTCAGAAGTGGAGGTGAAGAAGGAGATGAGGCAAACAGAGTGAGTGCGACGTAAAGAAACCAGACTGGTGTGGAGGTGAGCAAAACAGCTGGAAAAGTGTGGGTGTTGAATCCCCCACGGGTGCGATGCCCCCGGCTGCTGTCACCTGTTGTGAGCAGCGCTCTGCTGTCTGAGGGTAGGCCCCGCCCACAACGCTGCGGCTGCTGCGGTGTTTTCTTTACTGTGGGAAATGGGTAATAATGGCTCTTTGATGGGAACAGGTTACCGACCCCTGGTATAAGATCTGAGCAGGTAAAACAAAAATCCTCATCAGCAGGCTTTTTTGAAAGTGGGGGGGGGGGGGGGGGGGTGGGGGGTGGGGGGGGGGGAGGGGGGGGGACACAGCTGCCGATCACGAATTTTGCCGGGGACATGTCCCCGGCGTCCCCGGTTAAAATGACGCCTATGCCCTTTTACAACAGTAACCACTTGGCTTCAGGCGAACACGGTGTCTCAGAATGACTCCTAACAATATGCCACATGTTATTTTATATATCCACTCCACTTTAGAGCTTTATTATATTTACTTAAAGTGCTGTGAGTCTGTGCAGGAAGCAGAAGCGACAGAAATCCAACAGAACTCAGTGAAATGGGATTTGAGTTCTCACCGTAATATCATGGAGGCATTTTCTTTTTTTTTCTTCTCCTTTTTCAATAAGACTCAATAACCGAGGTGCCACGGTCATCGTGATTCTATGAGAGGGCTGGGCTGTCTGTAAACGAAACTCCAATTCATGTCTCCACTTCAGAAAAACCGACCCTGCTGCAAAGTGTCACCAGCATGTGCTGAACGTGCTTCTTAAAGAATATTTGCTTTTGTGAAAGCTAAGATTTAGGAGTACTGTAAAGCTTCGACTTCCAATGACTTTAAAATGCAGATAGATTATAGAGAAAATACAGCTGGGATTAGCTGATGTTTATCTAAAAATATTCATCTTTTCAGTCAGTGCAGCAGCTCCGCTCTTCTCCTGCTCTAACTGTAGAAAAGACACTTTCTGTACAATGCAGCAAGGAGGAACTTTTGATTTCCCCTGACAGAGAAGAAATAAATAAATCCCTGACGTATTTTTTAAAGGCCATGTGGAGGAAACTGGATTTTCCACCTTGTCTCCCGGACGTGCTGAGGAATTTCTCTTTCAGCTCTCTCTCTCTCTCTTGGTGTGTGTGTGTGTGTGTGTTTGTGTGTGTGTGTGTGTGTGTGTGTGTGTGTGTGTGTGTGTGTGTGTGTGTGTGTGTGTGTGTGTGTGTGTGTGTGTGTGTGTGTGTGTGTGTGTGTGTGTGTGTGTGTGTGTGTGTGTGTGTGTCTGTAGGTGATCTCGTGTCCAGAGCTATGCACCATCTTCAGCCGGTGTACACCAAGAACCACAGCAACGGGACACCGATCCACCCAAAGTGCAACGTGATTCACTGGGCTCCTGAAGCCATCTACACACTGTGTTACTTCATGCACTGCCCACACATGGAGTGGGAGAACCCAAATGTCGAGCCATCCAAGGTCACATTACAGACAGAGAGGTGAGACACAGATCCATGGTGCACCAAAACATTCTCCAGGTGGAACTTAGTTTATGGTGTGGTTAACAGAAAAAAACATTTTTAGTGATTATTTCTGATTATAATCAGTCACTGTGAGTTTTTCATGCAGGCTGAACATGAAAAAATAGTCTCCTACATCTATCTCCTGCATTAGCTTGTGATAGAAAATAGGTGATGAAATTCTAGAAAAGCCTGACAGATCACACTGTCACTGATTGTTCATGGACTCACCCATCTTGGCTCATGACGGGGGAGGCTGTTGGTTTAACATGCAGGAAACAGCAGAGAACATCTCAGCTAGTAGAAGTTAACTATTAGCATTAGCAACTCCACCACACAGCAGAACTCCTGCAGCCTTGTGTTATTTGTGGAGGTAAAACATCACTGCTGCAAGTCAGTGGTGGAGTCGCTTTGCTGTTGTTCAGTCCAGCGTGAGATGTTTAAATATCAAGAAATTAGACTCCAAATTAAACCTGTCGTCTGAAGCTCAGTTGTGATGTGGGCAACTTTTAGTTCCAGGATGTGGAACTTGAGAATGACTTACAAGGCACTTTCTGCTAGAGACCAATGCAAATATATTAATTAAACAAGTCAACTGCTTTTTTAAGCAAATGTTTGAGCAATTTTTATTTTTTTTTATTAAAAAATAAAACTTTGGGTTGAATGAAAACATCCCAAAGAATTTATTCGATAAAATACATTTGCATGAACTGGTCAGTGCATGTTGAGCAGAGAGGCTGATAGAAAATATACGAAGCCGATGTGGCAATATGGCCACTCCCCCTCATTTTAGCTTTTGATGAAAACAATATTTAATTCTATTGTGTCTGCATTGTTGACACATGTTGCACAAACCATGTAAAGGTAATCAAAACCATTGTTGCTGCCGCTCTGACGAGGCTATTTGTAGCGCAGGTGTTTCTGCACTTTGACAAGCCTTCTAAAATAGCGACAGGTTCCTTGAAATATAATTTTTAAAAATAATTGGACATAATGGAAACCTGCATCCTTGTGAGAATGAAAAAAGAAGCCTCATTTCTAGCCTCTGGGACAACAATAAGAGGTGGAAATTCCCTGCAGGAACTGGTTCTCTCCTCTTCACTTTGGGAGCAGCTTCGTGTTTTTGCTCCATCAGAACTACTGAGATCATTCTGCTGCACCTCAGGACCTTTTATCCATAATGACAACTCTGTTTTATTTAAGTGAACTTCCAACTCACTGAAAGGTCAGGTGACCCAATGGCAGGAAAGGGGTCTGGTTTGTGATTTTTGCATAAATGACTTTTTTTTGTTGTTGTTTGTTTTGGTTGACATTAGAGGTCAACTGATTTGGATTTTCCTATTGCCGATACCGATGCCCATATGTAGGAGACACGGTCAGCCGATGCCGATATGCACCGATTTTCATGGCCAATATCTGAGCATTTTCCACCTCATTTTCATACAAAAAGTCACTAATAGCATCAGTTGATGCACAAAATTCGTTTTTGAACTCTGAATTTAGCTAACTGTTAAATTTTAACTTTGTGCACTGCTCGTTATTAAAGTCAGACACGTAAATAAAGTTAATTTAGAGTTATGCAGATGTTATTAGTGAATTTTGCAACAATACCAAGCTGCCCGAGGATGTGCCTGAGTTAGCTTTACCAAGGACAAATATTGGCCGATGCCGTTGTATAAAATACAGTAAATATCAGCCCGATATATCGATCTACCCCTAGTTGACTTTTTCTTTCATTCACAATTTCTGTATTTCCTATGTATTCAATGCAACCCCCCCCCCCCCCCCCCCCCCCCTTCAGTTTCCAGAGGTTTACAACAGAACTGACAGTTGTCCATCCCTGGAAGACCAGGCCTGACTTTTCCAGCTGCAGTGGGGCAGTTTTTACTCTGTTGCATGTCTTGGGTGTCCAGCTGGTCACAAACAACACACTTACTACGAAGCCAAAGTTAAGCAACCCTTGAATCAAAGTTTTCTTTGAGACTTTCTTTAGCTGTTAAATGCATGGACTGAAAAGGACATTGAACTAATTGTGAACCACGGTTTCCATCTAGCCTGTTAAGGAACGTGCATTCAGCCATTCTTGTGCACGTTCTCTGCCTGTAGATAAGGTGTTGTTGGCTGCTTTAATGAAACCAGAGAGTCACTAGAGATCAGACTCGTTTAATGTTGGCAAAGAAAAAAAAGGCTTTTAATTTCTGTAGCATATCAGGCTTCCCATCAGCTCAGAGAAGCCATGATGAATGGCTAATATTATTAAGTGACAGCTAAAAGCCAAGGATAGTGCAGGCATTAATGCATCTTAGGTGAAGGGACATATTTATAGTTTCATCATGTATCTGAAACTTTCGGGCAGCTCAGCTTTTAATGAAAGCATGCTGGAAAAACCAGGATTTGAGTGTTTTATTGAAACGTTTTGAGCTACTGTGTTTCCACACAGGGACTCAAATGCACAACAATAAACCAACAGGTAAATGGGATTGTTTGCTCATGAGGAAGAGTGCATATCTTTGGTACGTTCTTGCTGTGTCTGATTTCTAATTCCAATTTTGGTTCTTTTTAAAATACAGAAAAGGTTTCTTTTTACCTTGCTTGCTGACAATTTTGTTCTTGGCTGCAAACTTCCTCAGAGCTGACGCTGATGGTGGCATCACTTCCTGCTCAGCAGAGGACGCTGTCGCCCTCTGCTGCCCGCTCTCCCCTCTCCGATGATGCAGTCCCTAATAATAATGGAAAGAAAACAAAAAGCACGACTCAAAGAGAGGATAAGAAACATCGCAGCCAAACAGAAGCAAGTGGAAAACGAACTGGAAAGAAGACACCTGGACTTAAAAAGGAATTACAAACTAGATGAAAAAACGGAGGAACAAATTAAAGGACACCTGATGGAAGAACAGGAAAAAGAGTTCATAAAAGTAAAAGAAAGACACATAAAGAAGTTAAACAAACTCATCAACAAGAAAAAGAGAAAAGAAATACAAGATAATACCACACAAAGCTCATGGGTATGTAACCTTTCACAGTACGAACTAACAGAAGCAGAAGAAACCATTTAAAAAAAGTTTAAACTTTGCAGTAACACCAAAGAAAACCATATGATGAATTCATTGTAGCAACAGAACTAGCATGCCAACAGATCACAGATGTGGGAAAGAAAGCAGAGCTTAGAAATAATGTAGTTGGGATATTAAAGAACAGCAAAATTCAACACAGCAATATTACAAAAGAAGAACAATCAGCCATGACAGCTTTATCCAAAAATGAACAGTTAATTATTCTACCAGCAGACAAAGGAAGAACCACAGTGGTAATGGACAAAGAAAAATATAAACAACAGATGAAGCAGATGCTAGAGGACAAAAATACATACAAAATACTTAAAAAAGACCCAACAGAAAACATTAAGAAAAATATGAAAAAATTACTTAAGCCACTACAAGAAAAAGGCAAAATAACAGAAAAAATGTACAAACACTGGATTCCCACAGCAAACATAACACCAAGAATCTATGGAACTCCAAAAATACACAAACAAAACACCACTTAGACCAATAGTAGACAGCATAGGTACACCAACATACAACATGGCAAGCGAAATCAGCAGAATCATCAGCCCGTTATTAGGAAACACAGATCAACACTGCAAAAACAGCATAGAACTGGCAAAAGAACTAAAAAAAGATCACAGCAGAAGATAACGACATACTCATCTCACATGACGTCACATCCCTGTTAACAAAAACACCAACCCAAAAAACCATAGACATAGTAGTTAACAGAATCAGACAGGACAAGACTTTACACAAAAGAGCAAACCTCACAGCAGATGACATAGCACAACTGGTAGCTAACTTACTTCACATACGACAACACAATATACAAACAACTGGAAGGCTTCGCCATGGGTAACCCGTTATCAGCCACCCTGTGCGAGTTTTTCATGGAGGACCTAGAACAAAAAGCCATAGCCACTGACCCCCCCCCCCCCCCCCCCCCCCCAAACTGCAAAATAAAACTATGGAAACGCTACGTAGACGACATACTGGAAATCATACCAAAAGGACAAACAGAAACATTAACACAACACAACATTGACGACACAGGCAGCATAAAGTTCACTTATGAGTCAGAAACAGAAGGCAGCATAGCATTTATGGACATGAAAATAAGCAGGCAGACCAACGGGACCCTAAACATACACATAGGAAACCAACACACACACAGACCAGTATTTATTATGGGCATCAGAACACCCCACCATACACAAAATGTCAGTAATCAGAACATTATTTCATCGAACAAACATGATAACAGAAGAAAGAGACCGTAAACAAGAGGACAAACACATACAACACGCTTTAAAGACCTGCAGATACCCGACATGGGCAATAAACAAAGGAAAACAACAAACAACAACAGAAAGAAAAGAACAACCAAAGGAAAGAACCAGAAACCCAGAAAGACAAGAACCAAAACCAGTGATGAACCCTACCATACATCAGAGGCATAACAGAAAAAATAAGAGCAACAATGAAAAAACACAACATAAACACACCAACAAAACCACACACAACAGTTAGAAACAGACTAGTGCACCCAAAAGACAAAATATCAGCTGGACTTAAATGTGGAGTCATTTACGAAATCCCATGCAAAATATGCAATAAAACATACATAGGAGAAACCGGACGCCAACTCAATACACGAACAATAGAGCATAGAAAGGAGTGCGAGGAAGAGGCAAGTAGAAAACACACGAGAGCAGCAAAAGAAGAAGCAGAAAGTACAATAAAGAAGTCAGCCGTAACAGATCACTGCACAAGAGAAAACCATATAATGGACTGGGACAACACAAGGATCATAAACACCGAACAACAAAAATACAAAAGATGGATCAAAGAAGCAATCGAGATAAGGAGACGTGGATGTGGGACCATGAACAGAGACGATGGAGTTTACACGTTGGATCGTGAATGGGACTGCATCATCGGAGAGGGGAGAGCGGGCAGCAGAGGGCGACAACATCCTCTGCTGCCGCGGATAAACGGAGAAGGAAGTGACGCCACCATCAGCGTCAGCTCTGAGGATGTTTGCAGATGCGAACTAAACTGTCAGCATGAAAGGTAAAAAGAAACTTTTTCTGTGTTTTAAAAAAGAACCAAAAATGGAATTAGGAAGAATTGGGACTTTGTTTTCTGTGTAACTGTTTCACTTTTGTGTGGGTTTTTCTGAATCCTCCCATGTCGTGATAGTTTAACTGGTTATTCTTCACTCAGCAGCTATTTTTTTGTTGTTGTTATTACTCGCGTTGGACACAATTCTGTCCTCAAAACTGCATTAATTCAGTCACTGAGATCAGCCTCATTGGCACTAACCATCAAAGTCACTCAAATCTAATTTCTTCACCATTTCTGATGGTCAGTCTTAAGGAAACTTCACCACCTCTGGATGCTTAACTGCATCGAGTTGCTGCCATGTGATTGGCTGATTAGGCGACTTAGTTAACAAGTTGAACAGGTGCACCCGATAGTGTCATGTGAGTGTAAATTTCACTTTAATCAAGTGAGAACATAAATCTTGGTTTTTGTTGCGACTTACGATGATCTGCTCAAAGGTTATTCGAACAACCTTTCTCCTCCTTTGTTGTTTCTTTCTCTCCTTAATGACCTTGAACAGAACAACGCAGGAGCAGAGTATGGATACACGCATGAATCATTTTTGCTCGATTGGAGAAAGCTGTCAGCACAGTAACAAAGGTCGAAACTGGACACCATAAAAATGTGTTGTACAGTATGGCTGCAGGTAACATGTCTGGCAGCAGGGCAGAAGCAGACTGGAGGCCAAGCAGCACTGTTAGATTCTAACTTATGTTTACAATAACAGGCCTTCAAGGGAAAATTAATGGCATTTCTTATTTATTCTGACCTTTATAACTGCAGTCATTAGAGGAAAAGCTGTCGTATGCACTGAAAATATGTAAAGTTTGAAGCTCAGGAGGTAGAGCGGGTTGTCCAGTAATTGGAAGGTTGCAGGTGCAATCCCTGCTGCAGTTGAGTCCTTGGGGATAACACTTAATCCGCCTTTCCTGCTGGTGGTGGTCGAAAGGACCGGCGGCGTTTGTGTTCAGCAGGCCTCGCCTCTGTTGGTGAGCCCCGGGGCAGCTTTGGCTACGTCGTAGCTCATCATCACCAGCATTTTATTTCCAAAATATCAACACTGAAGCAAGATTAACTTTATACAAATTTGCTGCAAATCTAATTATAAATTCCCGATGTGGATAACATCTGAAAACCTTCTGGGGTGTGAAGCTGCAGAGTCTTTGCCTCGGCTCCCACAGTGAACTCCTCTGCTGTACTGTAGTTTTAATGTCTGCCACAGGCTCACAAGCCTTTGAGGGAGTCGGGATCAACCGTTTGATGGATTCCTCCTGCTTCTGTCGGAGTGCCGTAGCGCATTTGAGGAAATATCACCCCATCTTTAGTTTACCTTCAACAGGCAGGGAGCTCTCATGAATTATGGATGTTGTTGTGCAGTACGTCTGTGCATCTCAATGTTCACAAAACCTTATAAGGCCGAGCACAGCAAGCAAAAGGAAAGAAACTTAGGATGATGCATGCTTTTACACGGCTTTGGACCCACCACAGAGCATTTTCAGAGACTATTAATGTGTTCTAATAAAGCCTAAAACCTTTTTTTATGTGACTGGTTTCAGTTTGCTCAAAACGGGAAAAAAACATTGATGTGACAAAATTAAGAACAGTGAGTGATTTTTATTTTTCCTATATTTTTCACATATTACGCAAATATTTATAATTTTTTTTATTTGAATCTTTTAGACCAAGCTCACCCTGGACTCCACTGCATCATGCAAAATGACAGGAGTTCTAAGTTTTTATTTTTTATTTCAAACAAATAAAACAATACATATAGTAATTTCCAACTTAGATAACTTATCACAACCATAATTGTTCGAAAAGGAATAGGAAGAAGCATAGCTTATTTCACCCTTCCCTGAATCAATTTACTCATACTTAAAAAATTAAAAATATCAGAATACAGAATAAGTTTCTCCTAAGTTAGTTCTCAGTCTGACTAATGTTGGGTTTTATGGGCCTCTACCTCCCCCCACAGGCCGTTCATGGTGCTGCCTCCTCTGATGGAGTGGGTCCGAGTGGCCGTGGTCCACACCGAACACAGACGGAGCTTCTCGGTGGACAGCGATGACGTCCGGCAGGCTGCCAGGCTGCTGCTGCCTGGAGTGGACTGTGAACCCCGCCAGCTCCGGTATACAGCTTCCTTTCATCCTGCATAGGAGTGTGTGTGAGCGTGTGTGTGTGTGTGTGTGTGTGTGTGTGTGTGTGCGCGCGCGCGTGCCATAAAAGTATCATAATTTAAACTCACATACATTGTTGCCAAGAGTGGAGAATGACTTGCAACTGACCACTTTCCCTTTGATGGTAAATCTTCTCAGGGTTTTAGGGCAAACAAATCAGAAGACCAGTCTTGACCATGACTGTGAATCTGTGTGTTTTTGGCCTTCAGAACAGACGACTGCTTCTGTGCCTCAAGGAAACTGGACGCCGCCTCTACCGAGGCTAAGTTCCTGCAGGACCTGGGCTTCCGTATGCTCAGCTGCGGACGCACGGACCTGGTAAAGCAGGCCGTCAACCTGCTTGGGCCAGATGGAATCAACAGCATGAATGAGCAGGTTAGAGACACAGTCAACATAATAAATAATGCACTTCCTGGCGTATTCACACCCAGGTACACACTCTTATATATGAACCCTGCTGAGGGATGTGTTTTATGTGGTTGGCTCTTTCTCCAGCGAGTTGACTTGTGAGTAAAAAGCATGCATATTAAATTTTCTTCTGGCTTATTTTTCCTGCAGCTCTCCTGCCAGACTACTCTGCATTATATCATGACTGTTAACCAGCAGAACAGTAAATCACCAGGGAAAGCTGGAAGTGCAACTCACAATGTTCCATGAGAGAGATCAACTTTTAGCCCAGAGGGCCATCTTAAAGAACAGTTTCAAACGCAAAGCTCCGGACTGAATGTTCCACTGAGATGGTCTTTAATTTAATGTTGCAAGGCTGGTTTAGTTCTTGATGTTTTCATTTGTTTGTTTGTAGGGGATGACACCGCTGATGTACGCTTGTGTACGAGGAGACGAAGCCATGGTGCAGATGCTACTGGATGCAGGAGCGGACATTAACAGCGAGGTTGGTAGTGAAAACAGAATCAGTTTCCTCTTTTGCAGATTTGATCACCAAATCAAAGTCAAGGCCAGAGATTTAATTTTATGACTAAAAGTTAGTGAAATAGAAGATAACGATGTGTTCTTGAATTGGAGAAAACCAAACATGTCGTCCCTCATCTCCTCCTGTTGTCTCTCCTCTCATTGCTTCTGAGGGTGAGGATCATGAGGGAGTCCAAGCAGACAATTAAAACCAAAAACCAGTTTACTTTAGAATCATTTATTCTTCTAAGAAATATTTGATGTTTTAGTTCACAACAAGAAGGTGTCACCCTCATGATCCTGGTCTCCTCATCTCTGTTGCTTTTATCATAATCAGCAAAAAAAGAAAGTTCTGCTCTCACTTCCAGATTAAGGCCTAGTCCACACGTAGCCGTTTTTTTTAAACGAATATCCGCCCCTCCAAAATCTTGCATCCACACCACCTCGTTTTTAAAAAAACTCTGTCCACACGTACCCGGATAAATACGTTGTTAAGGACATGCCAGACCTGTAGGCGGCAGTACTTCCCCCGTTCTTAACCTCGTCCTTCGTCTGTGGTCTTCCGCAAGGAGCAGTAATTCCGCTTGCAAAAACAAACAAGCAAAAAGCGCTTGGACAATTGATAAAGCGAGCGCAGCTCTGAGGGCATCCATGCTGTCGGCTAGTGTAAACACAGGTCGCACACGTGATGTCAGCAGTTTTCTGTCGCAAAAAGTGACGTTGCGGACTTTAAAACTCCGGTTTTGTCTGTCCACACGCAGACACCCAAAACGGAGAAAACGCAGATCTTCACTTTGGCCAGAGTTTTTAAAAAGATCCGTTTTCGTGTCGTTTTCGTGTGGATGACAGGCCAAAACGTAGAAAAATATCTACGTTTTGGCAGATCCCCGGCTACGTGTGGACAGGGCCTGAATCTCATTCTGCTAAATTATTAGTGGCATAGTTAAAAAACTTAACCGACAGGCTTCCGTCATGCTGTGAGGCAAGAGTCTAACCCACGACATACAGAATCAGTTCACGGATTTCGTTAAGAGTTTCAAAACAATAATTTATTAAAAGGAAGAACAAAGGGAGCAGCCGTAATGTGGCTGAGATCTTCCAACAGGAGTCAGGTGCGGGAATCTGCAGACAGAGGGAGGTTAGGTCCAGCTCGAAGAGGGCGACAGGAGACTTTAGTTATCCATGAGAGCTTACAGTCTGAAGAAAGGGAATAGCTCGAGGGGGAGTGGTCCGGTCTGGGGTAGATGGAATTCCTAGGAGCCGAGGTCCAGAGTTGGAGGTGGAGGGAGCTGAGCATGGCGATGTGCAGATCCAGGAGAGAATAGGTGGGCTGCTGGAGGCCAGGGAGGGACTGAGAGACAAGCAGGCGTAGAGGTTCCAGAATTCTGCCAGTCAGAGATGAGGTGGAGGTCTTGTCTGGAAACAAGAGCAGGAAGTAAAATGCAAAAATCCAACAAATACTCAAAAGGTTCAAGGGCTCAAATATTATCCTCAAGGTGGCTGTAGCAAGATACCCAGGTAGAGCAATCATCCAGCGAAGCGATGGTGTCTCTCAGCTGCTTAAGTACTCCGTGGCCGACTGATGAGCTGATGACCATCAGCTTGGCCACCTCCAGACACGCCCACCTGCAGCAGGAGACTCAAAACAAAATAGTAAGTGGTGGGAGGAAACCCCCAGACCATGACAGCTTCTCTGGGCTTTTAGCAATAACAAAAATAAAGTGAAATGTGTGCATCAAAATGTAGTTTTAGGAAAGTTGGAAAAATGTGCAAAATACTGATTTAGAAATATTTACAGGGAATTCAAGATATTTCTTCTAAAGAGATCTTTATACATCAGTAGGAAGCAAGCTTTAATTTTTATTGTCAGAGTTTAGATTGAACAACACTTTCTTACACGTCACTTTTCTTCTCATAAATATACATGATGATGTTTATTGTATAATAAATCACTCGTTTTGACCAAAATGATCAAATTGCTTTTTAAACATTTCATCCATACGTCTTCATCCCAGATTTTTATTTATTTTTTACAAGCTGAGGAAGAAAACGTCTCTTGGTGTGTGTTTTTTTTTTCCTCCTCGTGATTTTTCTAACTGTGTCGTGCTTGACCTGCTAACGAGTCGTAGAGCAGCCGGGTCAGAACCTTTTCACAGAAACACTCAGTAGATCCAAGTGAAACTATTCAAACACGACCTAACAACACACATCAATCCACTGGGCTCATTAGAGAGGGGGGGGGCAGGGTGTTCTCTCCCAGGGTTAATCACTAGTTTCTCCTGTAGATCTTCCTCCTCCTCTTCCTTCCCCTCCTCTGTCCTCCGTGTAGCTGCCGTCTTGTGTCCCATGTAGTCGTTTTAATGGCTTGGTATCTCTCTCCCTCATCTATCTCCCTCCTACCTGTCCATCCCACCCACCTGTGTCCCTTCCCCAGGTGCCAAACACAGTTCACAAGCATCCCTCAGTCTTTCCCGAAACGCGGCAGGCGACGCCCCTCACTTTCGCTGTGTTACACGGACATGTGCCTGTGGTGCAGGTAGTGACATCCTTCCTCACCTGTGACTCTCATCGTGACCTGTTGTTGTGCTTCCGCTCATGGTTGGTCATCGCTGCCATTTCTGTCATCAAATCTCAGTTTTCTCCGGTTTCTGTCTCCTGTCCAAATTGAAAGAGTCGCCTGAGGACAACGCTTTGTTTTCTGCCTGTGAGGTTTTGACTAAAAACAGATCAAACTGCATTTAGGAAGTGGAAACGCAGCACCCTGATTGGTATTGAGCTTGTTTCATTAATTCAGCTTGCCCTCAGCACTCTTTCCATTGGATTTTTGAATCAATATATTGCAATGGAAAGTATTTAATCCTTGTGACGTACACAGTTGGTCGCTAAGTGCAATAAATGCAAGGTAAACAGATGATATTTAAAATACAATCCTGTTATACCTTGCTATTTGACAGTAATTATTATTCTTTTCGTGTATAATCTTACAAGATGATTTAAATAGAAATTTTTTCGTAGAATTTTTTCGAATTTTCGTAGAAAAATAAAAATAAAATACTTAGCACACACATTTAGGAATGTATATACCTTACATACTATATATATTATTACTTAGATTAGCCATTTTTATATTTTGCTTGTTTTTAAGTTACTGTATTTTGCACAACTGTTGCTGTGAAGCTCGCACACAAGAATTTCACTCGCATGTACTGTACCGGTGTACCTGCACATGTGACGTGACAATTAAAGCGATTTGATTTGATTTGATTTGAAATTGACCCTGTTTTTTCTGTTATTTGATCATAAATTTGTGGCTTAAAATTGGCTTAATGCTTGTTAACTTGGGAAAAAAAAGCAAAAAACAAAAAACTTTTGGAAAGGTGGAATAATTTACAGGCAGTCCATTGAGAAGTATTAAAAATGTGGAAAAGCCAATTTGTCTTTCAGATGTTAAAAATGATCAGCGGCTTTGTTTGAGCTAAAGTGAGAAGAGAAAAAATACAAAACCATGCTCATTACGTTCTGCAACACCCCAGGCTGAAACAGAAAATGTGTTGATGTGCTCACAAAATGAAAGCAGCATAAACCTTTTTTTAAACTGGACCTGTCGGTTAATTGGCTTCCTTTTCTTTTTCTTTTCTTTTTTGTTTGCCTCTCGCTCTCCCATTTGCTTGCTCGCGTTGCTGCTTGCAGCTGCTGCTGGATGCCAGAGCCAACGTGGAGGGATCCCTGCAGGACGGGATGGAAAACTACACAGAGACGCCGCTGCAGCTGGCTGCCGCTGCAGGTACAGACACACAGCAGGGCTTTCCTCCCGTCCAGATTCACTGCACCACGCTGATAGCACCAGCCATCTGCAACACCTGACTAGTGTGGACTCTGGCTCCTCTCACAGGCTAAATTATCCCAAAAGCTGGAAAATTAAGATAAATGCAGACAAAAAAAGATAAAACAAGTCCTTCCCTTTCATCTTTCTTGTTATGGTTTAGTTTTCTTGTCCGTCTGTGACCTCGGGCTGTTATTTTTCACTCGCAGGTAACTTTGAGTTGGTGAGTTTGTTGCTGGAACGGGGGGCCGATCCCATGGTGGGAACCATGTACCGGAATGGCATTTCTACTGCGCCACAGGGAGACATGAACTCCTACAGCCTGGCTGCAGCCCACGGACATAGGTAGCTAATATTTATGTTGCGTTAAAAGGCTATTTCAAGATAATAATGCACAAATAAGCACGCTCGTTCAGCTTTCTACACCCGAACTGGTTTGAGTCACGGTTACTTGATGATTTAACTTGTCTCCATTCAGATTGTTCTAATATTGATGTGCATGTTTTAAAAGCAATTATTTAAAATTATAACTAGAATCTGCCATTTTAAATGGTCAGCCTGTTAATTGCTCACAATTTAATATCTAAGAAAAATAAATGAAAGTTTGCAAATAAAAGAGTTTTCTAGGATGAATCTTAATTAATTATCACACCGAACAATTTAAAAGTCATTTTTACTCTTCAAAACAAAGTTTTTAAAGCTTTTAAAGCTTGTTAAAAACTACTTTCTTAAACAGAGATGTTTTGGGGTAATGTTAATATAACTACTATGTAATTATATAGTATTTATGTTATTTAGTTATTCAACAATATAATCCAACAAAATTTATTGGCTCCTGCAACATAGATAGCCTCCACCAGAGGGCAGTAGAAACATGTAGGACTGGATATAACTGGTTTAAGATGAAGGTACTAATCCTAATACTCCTGATGTCTGGATTCTTTAGGATAATTGTCTTGATGTTACTTTGCAATTATATAGTTTACAGGTTTTTTACAATATTACTTGTTTTGTCAACATGTTAATGTAAGAAAAAGTATGTTTTTACAAAAAATGCGTCTTTATTTAACGACAAGCATTTGCTTATATCGGATTTCTCAGAAGGTTCAGCTGAACCTGTCCATGCTTCTGAAGCTGCTGTTTTTCTGCTTTCTAATATGTTAGTTTTGTGTTGTGAGACCATCATTTTTTCTATCCCATTGAGCTCATTTTTCACTAAACTTGGATTAATCTACACTGCTTCTTAAAATTCACACATTGGTACCACACAGTTGTTTGAAACTGACAAATCACTAAAGAAATAAGTGTTTACCATTGATTTTCAACCATGTGAGTAATCATAGTGCATCTTTAACAGCCAGTGCTACCATCTCATCTGTTTTAGTAGCAGACTGCCAAAGGATGTTTACAATAACCTCCAACTCAGTTAAAGACACTTTCAAATGCTTCCTATTTTATTGTGTATTATTATTATTTGTGATAGGAGGGAGCACAAATTTCTCTTCCATAAAAATATGTTTCATACATTTCTTTTCATTGGTTCGTTTTGTGTTTGCAGAAACGTGTTTCGTAAGCTGCTGTCCCACACAGAGAAAGGGAAAGGGGATGTACTCTCCTTAGAGGAGATGCTGGCTGAAAGTTCAGAGCTGGAAGCTGGAAGTTCGTCATCTCAGCTTGACCTTGTTCGGACCGGAAAGGCCAAACTTAAAGCTCTTAAAGAAGCCATGTACCACAGCTCTGAACACGGGCACGTTGACATCACCATAGACATACGGAGCCTCGGTGGGTTTGAACATTTTATTTTCAGAGTTTTGTACGATAACCTTTTCTCTGTGAAGGATCAACGCTAGGTACGAGTTGAATGTGTCTGGACCTGTTTCCCAGGGGTCCCATGGACTTTGCACACTTGGTTGGAGTCTCTGCGAACGTGTTTTCATCAGCACCGCCGACCTCTGATCCAGGGTCTCCTGAAAGAGTTCAGCTGCATCGAGGAAGAGGAGTACACAGAGGAGCTCATCACGCATGGCCTGCCACTCATGTATCAGATCCTCAGGGCCAGCAAGGTACTTCAGTGCATCTGTAGATGTTCTAAATGTTTGTTTAGCTGTTGTTAGTTTGATGGAAAGTGTTATTTAAGTCCTTCTCAAGTCAGCTCTGATGTTCAACTTATGAATAATTACTTTTTCAGTCAAGTTTCATTTTCTTTTACACTCTATTTATATTTGTCTTTGCCTTGGCCCTCTCCTACCTTCAGCTTGTTATTGTGATCTATCTATCTATCTATCTATCTATCTATCTATCTATCTATCTATCTATCTATCTATCTATCTATCTATCTATCTATCTATCATCTATCTATCTATCTATCTATCTATCATCTATCTATCATCTATCTATCTATCTATCTATCTATCTATCTATCTATCTATCTATCTATCTATCTATCTATCTATCTATCTATCTATCTATCTATCTATCTATCTATCATCTATCTATCTATCATCTATCTATCATCTATCTATCTATCTATCTATCTATCTATCTATCTATCTATCTATCTATCTATCTATCTATCTATCTATCTATCTATCTATCTATTATCTATCTATCTGTCTATCTATCTATCTATCTATCTATCTATCTATCTATCTATCTATCTATCTATCTATCTATCTATCTATCTATCTATCTATCTATCTATCTATCTATCTATCTATCTATCTATCTATCATCTATCTGTCTATCTATCTATCTGTCTGTCTATCTATCTATCTATCTATCTATCTATCTATCTATCTATCTATCTATCTATCTATCTATCTATCTATCTATCTATCTATCTATCTATCTATCTATCTATCTATCTATCTATCTATCTATCTATCATCTATCTGTCTATCTATCTATCTGTCTGTCTATCTATCTATCTATCTATCTATCTATCTATCTATCTATCTATCTGTCTATCTATCTATCTATCTATCTATCTATCTATCTATCTATCTATCTATCTATCTATCTATCTATCTATCTATCATCTATCTGTCTATCTATCTATCTGTCTGTCTATCTATCTATCTATCTATCTATCTATCTATCTATCTATCTATCTATCTATCTATCTATCTATCTATCTATCTATCTATCTATCTATCTATCTATCTATCTATCTATCTATCTATCTATCTATCTATCTATCTATCTATCTATCTATCTATCTATCTATCTATCTATCTATCTATCTATCTGTCTGTCATCTATCTATCTATCTATCATCTATCTATCTATCTATCTATCTATCTGTCTATCTATCTATCTATCTATCTATCTATCTATCTATCTATCTATCTATCATCTATCTATCTATCTATCTATCTATCTGTCTATCTATCTATCTATCTATCTATCTATCTATCTATCTATCTATCTATCTATCTATCTATCTATCTATCTATCTATCTATCTGTCTGTCATCTATCTATCTATCTATCATCTATCTATCTATCTATCTATCTATCTATCATCTATCTGTCTATCTATCTATCTGTCTGTCTATCTATCTATCTATCTATCTATCTATCTATCTATCTATCTATCTGTCTATCTATCTATCTATCTATCTATCTATCTATCTATCTATCTATCTATCTATCTATCTATCTATCTATCTATCTATCATCTATCTGTCTATCTATCTATCTGTCTGTCTATCTATCTATCTATCTATCTATCTATCTATCTATCTATCTATCTATCTATCTATCTATCTATCTATCTATCTATCTATCTATCATCTATCTATCTATCTATCTATCTATCTGTCTATCTATCTATCTATCTATCTATCTATCTATCTATCTATCTATCTATCTATCTATCTATCTATCTATCTATCTATCTGTCTGTCATCTATCTATCTGTCTGTCATCTATCTATCTATCTATCTATCTATCTATCTATCTATCTATCTATCTATCTATCTATCTATCTATCTATCTATATCTATCTATCTATCTATCTATCTGTCTGTCTGTCATCTATCTATCTATCTATCTATCTATCTATCTATCTATCTATCTATCTATCTATCTATCTATCTATCTATCTATCTATCTGTCTGTCTGTCTGTCTGTCTGTCTGTCTGTCTGTCTAAAGATCCATCGATCTGACATATAGATCAATCGATTGATTGGTTGATCCATCTATCGATTGATTTATCAATCTAACAAACAGTTTATTAATTGATCTATCAATCTACATAAAGATCCATCTATCTATCTGTCTGTCTGTCAACCAACCGACTAATCCTGTCTTTCTGTCTATGGCTGTCTCTCTGTTTCTCTCTCTCTCTCTCTAAAACTCTAACATCTCTAGCTCATGCATATCTATTCCTGGTGGGATATGCAGCTGTAAACGGGTGGTCTGTAGCCGACGCGCTCCGCTGACACCACGCAGCCTGATCACACACGTGGGGCCCGTCGTCTCTAGCTGACCACTTCTTCTACACACACACAGACACAAAGACTCTCACACACATAAAAGGAATTGGGTTGCAAAACACAAATGGTTAAAGGTCTTTTACTGCATTCACTCCTTCACTTTCCTGAGCCGTGACCGTGTTTTCCATTACAGAAGTCTAAGTGAAAATGGGACTGTGAGGAAAAACTGCTCATTTGATCTTTTTAAAATATCTGCCACTAAGTGCGAGGCGTAATGGAGCAAAGTGTTTGAACCCAGTGAATGCTGCTGATGTTAAGCCTCCCTGTGCTGCGCCATGGAGCACTCACATGTAACTGCTCATGTGCTAACAGAATGAAGTGATCAGTCAGCAGCTGGCTGCGATCTTCACCCAGTGTTACGGCCCGTATCCTATCCCCAAACTGACGGAGATAAAGAGGAAGCAGACATCACGTCTGGGTGAGACTTTATTTTACAGTTTTTCTCAATTGGTTTGGCTCATTTCCTGAAACCAAGATGACATTCACAAAACCATAAGGTCATTTGGCCAAACAGTCTGACAGTGCTGCCCAACATTATAGCGCACTAGCAAAATCAAATATCTTTCCCCAAACTCTTCGTCCATGCTTCAAAAGCAGATTCCTTTCCCATATAAAAGGTCAGTACAGTCAAAATAGCACAGATCGTTCTCAATTGCCTTGGCACATGTGCATTCATTCAGTGCTTTTGTCAAAATAACCTGAATGGCTTAGCACAACACCATGGATCCCCTGCAAAAGCTCATATCTCTCCCAAAAGAGTTTATCCATGTGTCAAAACTAAATATCCTTCCCATATAAATAGTCAGTGCCCCCAAAATGCATTATACCTTTGGCATTGTTTAAGCACTGCAAGTCAAAATGCTCAGACGTTGTGTCACTGAGGCACAGGTCTAGCAACAGAATACCACTATGAATAAAACCAATAGATTTCACAGTAAAATTGGCCTCCAATTAACCACTCATACTCAGGAAACTGTAAACATTTTCATTCGTACAAAGAAATGTTAACATTAGAGAACATACTGTGAAAAGAAAACATATACAGGTGTAGTATATTTATACACTGTAATTAGATCTAAATATTATAATCAAAAGTGGTTGTTTTTATCATCAGGGAGTTTACTTAAACACTCTGTATTGACTGAGAGACAAGAAAAGAGAGAGTTGGGATCGTTTAAGAATCTTTAATTTCTATAATTATAAATTCTTACAATCTACCAGGACTATCTCCATGATGGATGCATATGGATTTGGATGTTTCGTGTTGGTGTGTGTGTGTGTGTGTGTGTGTGTGTGTGTGTGTGTGTGTGTGTGTGTTGTTCAGAATCTCTAGGCTGACGTAGCGAATCTGGTTGTTATGACTAGACTACCACGAGGCTTCAGAAGCTGATGACATGAGCCGCCATTTTGTGCCGTGACCACGTACCTATGGAGTCTCCCGCGGTCAGATCAGGAGTGTCAGGTCCTAGAACCCCCCTTGGTGCTGGGCTGATGAAACAGTGGTGCAACACGACAAACCAGTCTACAGATAGCTCCGGCAGTAGTAGCAGATCTCGGCGGGTTCAGCTCTTATTGTGAAGGAACCGTCGTCTTGTTGTTCAAACGACAGAAATCTCCAGCTTGACAGTTCTCAGCTTAAAATAGGAAAGTACAGCTGGCCAGCCTGTAACTTTCTTAATGATGATGATGGAAATCCTTAGGACCTCCAATTGAACAGAACTGAGGTTAAAATGGAACTGAGTATAAAATGGCGTTGCCTTGTTTTATATCTCCCAGTTGTTTATAAATCTTAGTAAACCGGATTGGACAACTTAAGTAAACAACCCAGATTCTCTCTACGACAGACGAAAGTTCTGATTGGTTGAAAACAATGTGTCATGCGTTTCCATGGTAATGTGGATCAGTCTGTCTGGTGCAGTCCTGTTTATTCATTAAACACATAACTCATGACATCTTTATTTCACAGATCATTCACCTGATTATTAATGATCAACATATGTTCTGATTAGCTTTATCACGAATAAAGTACTTTGATTAATTAATGGAAAGCGTTCTTCTTCTCTTCTTCTGTCTCTTCTCCTGGAATGTAAACATACTGAACCAAGCGTCCGACCTTGGCGATGTTACTGTGTGAAGGGGCAGCTGTTAAGGGCAGACAATTATAATATTCATAACGCTACACAGGATTCTGTAAATGTGAACAGTTATAAACACAAAAAAAAAACAGTAACAACTCTAGCCTACCATACTGTAAATAAGGTTTCAGAACTATAGTGCAGTTATATTTTCAGTGGTCGCCATTGTCACCCTCTCTTTCCTGGCCACCATCCTCATCCTCCTGGCCATCGATGCGCTGCTCTCTGTCAGGCCATAAATTCTCATCCACATCGCAACAGATATTTTCTCGTGCGATGCAGCGAGGGAAGAAACGGTGTGAATGTCTCAACCATCCCCTACATTGATCCTCTGTGATGTCCTCACATGCAGCATCCATTGCATGCAGCAGGGCCCTCTGGTCTTGAGCCTGATGCTCATACACCCTCCACCTCCAAGCTGAAAAAAACTCCTCAATTGGATTTAGGAAAGGAGAGTAAGGTGGAAGAAACTCCATTAGCATCCGGGGATGGGTGGTGAACCAGGTTCTGATGCGTGGGCCGCGGTGGAAGTTCACATTATCCCACACAATGACATAATGTGGTCGCTGAGGTCCTTCTACACCTCTCTCATTTTCTGGGATCAGATCAGTATAAAGGTGGTCCAAAAAATTGAGGAGCTTTTGTGTATTGTAGGGCCCTAAACTGGGAATGTGCGTGGCCACACCTCTTTCTGATATAGCGGCACACATTGTTATATTTGCTCCTCGCTGGCCTGGGACATCCACAGTGGCTCGGTGGCCAATGATGTTACGGTCACGCCTTCGACCTTTGGCCAGGTTGAAGCCAGCTTCATCAACAAACACTAGGATGTGAGGGGTGTCATTGCCCTCTAATGCCATTATTCTCTACAATAGAATAGAAATAAATATAATCAGTCAAGTAGAGACAGATACTGCAGGGAGGATCTAAATTACTGTACAAACAGGGAGTGGGAAACTGACGACAATTTCTAGGCAAAATGCTCTAGTCACACAAAGCTGCATTCTGAAGGTGAAAAGGATACCGCAAAACAAGAAAACAGTGGTAACCATGTCTTACTGTAATAGTGTTACAATGATAGACAACCAGTAGTTGACTTACATGCACATACTGGTACCGCAGCCCTTTCACTCTGTCAGAGTTTCTCTCAAATGGTACCCTGTAAATCTGTTTCATGGTCATCTGATGTTTCTTCAATACCCGGTCTATTGTGGAGATGCTGATAGAGTTCATATTTTGGAACATTACATTGTCTAGCAGGATTGCATTAGGAATCTGTCTCAGTGTGATGGCATTATTTGCAATGACCATGTTGCATATTTCTCGTTCTTGTTGTTCATTTAGAAGTTTTCTTCTGCCACCCACTTGAGGCCGTCGTCCAATCCTAGACACACAAGTCAAAGGTCAACACTGTAAATTTGTTACAAAATGAGTTACCTCTGTAATTGTACTGCTGTCCTATGGTACTAGAAGTGCGATGCACTGCACAGTGACTGGAATACTATTCACAGTATTTTCTCCATTTTTCTGTCTTTGTCATTTTTATAGTATCATATAACATCACATGACGATATTACAGTACACTAGGCCTACACACACACCAACACTGAATAGTTCAATAGCATAGTTCTGTACCTGTTTTCCCTGCGAAAGGTTTGGATGATGCAGGAGACTGTAGACCGAGCCACATTAGGCTGCACTCGGCGACCTGCCTCTGCCATTGTGAGGCTATGGTTTATAACGTGGTCAATAAGGGTGGCCCGGATTTCATCTGGGACATCATGGTGCCTCCGTGCTCCTCGGCCTCTTCCCCCTATTCCTCCACGCATTCTCACTCCTCCTCTTCCTCTTCTTCTTCCTCCTCTTCCTCGAGCAGGAAGTTGCTGTTGTACTTGGCGAGGTGCTTCCATGTTCACACTGCAAATGAAACTTGCCCCGGGCCAAACTCTGTCTATATACTTTAGGCAGCAGTCATGATCATAGACAACACCTGTCAGGTATCTGAACAACCTGTTTGATTGGTCATCTGAGATGTGGGAGGCTGCTCCTTCGTTAGTTCTAATTTCACCTGACTGATTGCCAAATACTGTCATAACTTTATCAAATGTTCCAAGATATTCTTTCATGGAATCATATCTTTGATTAATTTTGACAGTTGAACAGACAATTGTGCATATGATGACTTACACAATGAAACCATGCTGATAAGTTGTGGAGTGAGTGACCATTTCACTGGCAAATCAACTAATCAGTTTAGATCGGCAAGATGTATTTATTTGGGAAATGTGCTAAATGTGGGCTCATTGTGCTAACTGTAGCTACTTGTACATAATCATTTGAAAAGAAGCACAGAGTCACTTGAGACATGTACTAAAGCATTTGCAATTTGATTAAACCAATGAAAACTGACATTCTGTTGCGAACGATTGCAAGGTGGTTTGCAGATTTGTCCATGTTATTTTGTGAATGTCATCTCGGTTTCAGGAAATGAGCCAAACCAATCGAGAAAACTGTAAATGATTTAAAGTGCAACATAAAACCATCATCTTTTGATTGAGCAAGTATCTATTTTTATAAAACACAACATATTGCCATCTAGTGGTCACTTACAGAAGTGTGAAGTATAAGGTGTGTGTAATGCAGCTATGCTTTCGTTTTTAATTAGTTTTTCTCCGTTGGTTTGGCTCATTTCTTGAAACAGAAACTACATTCTCAAAATAACACGGACAAACCATCCAAACCTCTTGGCAAATGTTCACAACAGAATGGCGTCTCTCATTCATTTTATCAAATGGCAAATGCCTTAGTACATGTCTCAATTGTCTCAGTAGCCTGCAGTTATACAGTTAGCCCACATTTAGCACATTTTCCAAATGAATAGATCTTGTAGATCTAAACTGATTAGTTGATTCTCAGTCTAATGATCATTCTCTCCAAAACATGTCAGCATGATTTCATTGTATAAGTACTCGCATGCACAACTGTCTGTTCAATTGTCAGAAATGGTCAAGAACATAATACCATGAATACCGTATATGAATTTCTTTGAATATTTGATACACTGATGACAGTGAGGTGAAACTAGACTAACGAACGGAGAGTGTCACACACAAGTGTTTTCCATGATCGTGTGCTGCCAAACACAGAAATACAGAGCTTGACCAGCACCAGTCTGATCTCTGAACATGGATAGACAAGGCCGAGCAAATGGAGAAGAAGAAGATGAAGAAGAAGAAGAAAAGGAAGAAGATGAAGAAGATGATGATGAAGATGATGAAGATGATGATGAAGATGATTAAGATGATGATGAAGATGATGAAGAAGATGAAGAAGAAGAAGAAGAAGAAGATGATGAGGAGGAGGAGGAGGAGGAGGAAGATGATGAGGAAGAAGGAGAAGAGGAAAAGGAAGATGATGATGATGATGAAGAAGAAGAAAATGATGATGATGAAGAAGAGGAAAAGGAAGAGGAAGAAGATGATGAAGATGATGAAGAAGAAGAAAAGGAAGAGGAAGAAGATGAAGAAGATGAGAAAGAAGATGATGAAGAAGAGGAAGAAGAAGATGATGAAGATGATGAAGAAGAAGAAGAGGAAAAGGAAGAGGAAGAAGATGATGAAGAAGATGAAGAAGAAGATGATGAAGAAGAAGAGGAAAAGGAAGAGGAAGAAGATGATGAAGATGATGAAGAAGAAGAAAAGGAAGAGGAAGAAGATGAAGAAGATGAGAAAGAAGATGATGAAGAAGAGGAAGAAGAAGATGATGAAGATGATGAAGAAGAAGAAGAGGAAAAGGAAGAGGAAGAAGATGATGAAGAAGATGAAGAAGATGATGAAGAAGAAGAGGAAAAGGAAGAGGAAGAAGATGGTGAAGAAGAGGAAAAGGAAGAGGAAGAAGATGACGAAGAAGAGGAAAAGGAAGAGGAAGAAGATGATGAAGAAGAGGAAGAAGAAGAAGAAGAAGATGATGAAGATGATGAAGAAGATGAAGATGATGAGGAAGAAGAGGAAAAGGAAGAGGAAGAAGATTATGAAGAAGAAGATGAAGAAGAAGAAGAAGAAGAGGAAGAGGAAGAAGATGATGAAGATGATGAAGAAGAAGAGGAAGAATATGATGAAGATGATGAAGAAGAGGAAAAGGAAGAGGAAGAAGATGATGAAGAAGAAGAAGAGGAAAAGGAAGTGGAAGAAGATGAAGAAGATGATGAAGATGATGAGGAAGATGATGAGGAAGAAGATGATGAAGATGAAGAAGAAGATGATGAAGAAGAAGAAGAAGAGGAAAAGGAAGAGGAAGAAGGTGATGAAGAAGAGGAAGAAGAAGATGAAGAAGAAGAAGAGGAAAAGGAAGAGGAAGAAGAAGAGGAAGAAGAGGAAGAAGAAGATGATGAAGATGATGAAGAAGATGATGAAGAAGAGGAAGAAGGTGAGGAAGAAGATGAAGAAGAAGAGGAAGAAGATGAAGAAGAAGAGGAAAAAGATGAAGAAGAAGAGGAAGATGATGAAGAAGAAGAGGAAAAAGATGAAGAAGAAGAGGAAGATGATGAAGAAGAAGGGGAAGAAGACACTGCTGTCACGAATGGAATTTCTTCCCTTGTTGCATGGCAAACGTATCCGCTGTGATGTGGACGAGGATCTGTGGCCAGACGGACAACAGCGTGTAAATAATCAGGAGGGTGAAGACGGTGGACAAGAGCGGGAGAATGACTACAGCGACCACTGAATATGTCCTTGTTTTGTTTTTTTTGTGTTCATACAATTTACTGTATTGCTGTAAAATACATTTTCTTTTTACTTATGTATGAAACTTTGCGTGCGAATAAAAAATGGTTATAATTTCCTCGGTAGTGTGAGTGCAATCAGTGATGTCAAACCTTGGAGGCTACTTTTTTCGGTTGTACATTGTTGGTCCTCTGCCACAGTGACAAAACATCTAAACATGTTGTATGGCAGCACTCACACAATGCCAAAGGGACGACGCATTTTGGGGGCACTGACTATTCAGATTGGAAAGAAATGTAGTTTTGGCACATGAGTGAACTGTTGTAGGAGCGATATGAGCTTTTGCAGGTAAACCATGTTGTTGTGATCAACCATCCAGGTTTATTCTGACAAAAGCACCACGAATGAGAATGTCCGATCTGTGTCGAGAAACGAGCCAAAGCTATTGACAAGGATCTTTGCCATTTTGGAGACACTGACTGTTTAAATGAGAGGGATTTAGATCGAAGCCTGAGTGAACAGTTTTAGGAGAGATATGAGCTTTTGCAAGTGAGTTATAGTGTTGTGCTAAACTTTAAGAGTGTTATGCCAAATGATCTTGGAGGTTTGAGAATGTACAAGAAATGAGCCAAACCAGTGGAGAAAAACTAATATTCATTCACATTTCCTGTCCGCGTGCATTTCAGATCCTCACTTCCTGAACAATAAGGAGATGTCTGATGTGACCTTTTTGGTGGAGGGGAAACCTTTCTACGCCCACAAAGTTCTGCTCTTCACAGCCTCCAACAGGTGCTCACACACCAGCTGTTTACAGCTGTTCTTACTGCACAAATTCAATCTGAATGTAGAGTCCTCGCTGCAATTTAACATGTGATAAAATAATTCATGTGACTGTTTTAGAACACTTGTGATCGCCTCTCTTGCTCCTTTTCATTAGATTCAAAATTCTGTTAGCAAACAGACCTTGTGGTGAAAACACGTGCATCGAAATCAGCAATGTCAAATATCACATATTTCAGGTAAAACTAGCCGTAAGAATGAACTTCAAAATAATTTAACCTCCGATGCATTTGTGTTGATGTGTGAGCTGTGTGCCTCTGTTTCAGCTGGTGATGCAGTATCTTTACTGTGGAGGGGCGGACGCGCTTCACATCAGGAACACTGATGTCATGGAGGTTAGACCAATAATAAAGTTTCTGTCCAGGGCTGCTAGAGGCTCATCTGTGTTGTGTTAATGGATTTTATTTAGTCATGGCTGCAAGATTTGTTTTTATTATTTCAGTCAAATAAAACTGCGAGTTGTGATTTTGCTTAATCCATATAAAACGTGATATTTGTTCTTTTAAAAATGCACTTATTGTTGGAAAGAAAATAGCACTGTGTCATTTCTGTCATCCTTTTCTAATTCAACACTAAATTCAAATTCAAATTCACAAATACTTTATTAATCCCAGAGGGAAATTGATTGCTGTAGTAGCTCAGAATAATAATAATAATCAAGTCATCAAAGAGTTATTGTATATTACAATGGCTGTTGGCAGGAAGGATCTCCAGTAGCGGTCAGTGTTGCAGCCAAACTGAAGAAGCCTCTGACTGAAGACACTCTTCCGTTGTCGGACAGTCTTGTGAAGAGAATGCCCAGGGTTGTCCATAACTTTCTTGATTCTCTGGAGAATCCTTCTTTGCATTATCTCCTCCAGTGATACAAAAACTGCCGAAACTATGGCTGAGTCCTTGAAAGGGCTTGGAGTTCCTCCATCTTGTTGGCCAGTGATCTCACATTGCCCATTATGATCGATGGAAGAGATGGTTTGAATTTCCTCTTTCTCTGTCTCCGTTTTGCTCCCGCTCTGACCCATGCTTCTTGTGTTTTAGCTCATTTGGGATTTGTGGCTTCAGTTGAGGTATTTTTTCAGCCTTTCCAATGTTAATCAGCTGCTCTCGATTGTAAACCAGCTTGTTGCCATGGTTACGCATCATAACAAATGCTCAAAAAGTGAGAAAAGCTAAAAAATAGCAGTAAAAATCCTCCAAGCTTCACAGCACCAGAAACAGAAAAGTAAAGTGTCCAAAAAATACTGTTTTTCTCGAGAAACTAGAAGAAAAAATGCCCAAGAAAAGGCAAAACTTACATATAGTCAACAGAGCTACTCCAACATGCAGCCGCCCAGAGCAGCGCAGTTCCGCAGTTAAATATGTCTTAAAACAATGATAGAGACATATTTAGTTAATCTGTGAATTCTGTGTTATATTCATGAGAAATAAACTTGCTTAACTAATCAAATTCATAATAACAATCTTTAATTTGGTGATCCCCCCCCCCCCCCCCCCCCAGCTCTTGTCTGCAGCCAAGTTTTTCCAGCTGGAAGCGCTTCAGAGACACTGTGAGATCATCTGCACGAAGAACATCAACACGGAAACTTGTGTTGAGATCTACAATCACACAAAGGTAAGAAGTGAAAGAAGCTCATTTTAAACAAGTAAAGCAAAAATGGTAAATAATAATGCTTCATAACTTTCTTCACAGTTCCTCGATGCCCCAGACTTGGCGTCGTACATCGAAGGCTACTTCCTGAAGAACATGGTCATCCTGATTGAGCTGGAGCCGTTCAAACAGCTGCTCTACGATGCTCCGCCTGAAGGCCCCGGCTCCGACGTCCTGCAGGCCTTGGAGAGAACCCTGGCCATTCGAATCCAGTCCATCCACTTGTCTTCCTCCAAGGGCTCCATCGTCTGAACTCTCAATGCCCAAAACCAGAGTTTAACCATCAGATTTACATCAGAGACACTAGAATGATTGCTGGATTATTTACGGTTAAAGAGTCCATTTTATGATCCTCGTCTCTTTGAAACTCATCAAACAGCTAATATGCTTCTTGTTATCTTAGCACAGATGGTTACGAGTCCATCCGTCTGCCTTGTTGATGTCTACTAACACAACTATCACACAGTAGCCGTATTAAGCAGAAACTTGCCAATAACCAACCAAACGCAATCATCAGAGCTTCTGAACACACGGCTCAATAAGCAACCCCCGCATGGTGCGAGGGGGAACCGATGCCTCGTGGTGAAACATTTGGACCGGCACAGAAACAGATTATTTGTATATTTGTGAGTCACATCTGTGCTGATTACTCCATGAAGCCAAACGAAGGAAAAGAAAATGTGATGTGACTGAAACACGCGAGCGTTTGGGACTGGGCAGAGCGGAGGACTTTTAAAACCTCCGCTGCTTTGTACATTTTGTCAAATAAAACAGAGATATTGTAAGTTAATGTACATATAACCATTGTTTATTGTTTTTCTCATGCGTCTCACTGTTGGATATTGTTGTAAAAACACAAAGTTCGTCTTATAAATATCTGTGTTTGTGTTGCATGTCAGAGAGAGGACTTCTGTTCACGCTGTTGGGACATTTCCCATTACGGATCTAGTTTTCACCATCAGCATGAGTCACTAATAACATGTCGCCGTAAAACAGTGTCATGTTTTTATTTGTGGGAGGCCACAGGGCTGCACAGGAATCGGTTAGGCGATCACATGAGACTTTCCTTTATAAATACCAGAGTAAACAACAATAAGTTTGTTTTTAGTTTCATGTGTTGCAAACATTTTCTACCAGACAGATCAATCAATAATTCTGTTTGATGGAAAAAAAGAAAAGAGAAATTTAAGAGCTGCCTGCCGGTGCTTTGTTCTCAGCAGAAAAAGGTCAGATCTCCATTGGTTGGGGGTTTAATGTGACACCCAGCAGCGCACACAGCACAGCCGTCCCAAATGATGAGGAAAAAAAACAACAGCGTACGAAATTTGATCCACAGCTCTCTCGTGGTTTGGAACCCCCAAAATGTTAATAAAACCTTATGAACAACATGTGTGTGAATTTGAATTATTTAAAGATAGCCTGTTGATTTTTACAAAAACATGAGCTACTTGGTTAGTAAATTATTTTATTCTTCAGTAAAAAAAATCTGAATATTAAAAGTCTATAATTTAAAAAAGAAAAGCCTTATTTTGTTGGTTCATTTTCAGTCAATGATGCACTGTGTGAAGCGCGTTGGTTACAGGGTACACCCTGGACAGGTTGCCAGTCCATTGCAGGGCAACACACACACACATACACACACACACACACACACACACACACACACACACACACACACACACACACACACACACACACACACACACCTAAGGACAATTTAGAGAAACCAATCGATCTGACAGTCCTGTTTTTGGACTGTTGGAGGAAGCTGGAGTACCCAGAGAGAACACATGCATGAACAGGGAGAAGAACATGCAAACTCCATGCAGAAAGACCCCTGGCCGAGATTCTAACCCAGGATCGTCTTGCTGCAAGGAAACAGCACTAACCACTGCACCACTGTGCAGCCCCAAGTTCAGTTATCATTTAAATATAACCTGTTGTCTATTTATCCCAATAATTCAGCACAGATTTGTTATGATGTGGGTGAAATATTAAGAGATTTCAACATTTTCTAAAATCAAAGCTTGTTTCCGTTATAAAATAAAAAAAGATTTATAATTAGAGTCATTAGTGTGGCGACAACTGTCAGTTGATTCACACCGAATGGATGAGTCCAAACCTTTGAAATGTTCTTTATTCTGCCTTCAAAAGACTGTGACCCAGCAGAATTTCACAAAGAATGATTTTATACAAAATATTTTAGAGCGTATTTTGGCACAATCAGTTGTAAAAAAATTTACATTTTTTTTATTTCACTTTTCTCCAATAATCATCCATCTACAGTATTTCACCCATTTCTTTTTGTCATTCCCGTTGTATCCTCTGTACAGAAAATGAATGATCAATAGCTTTGTGAAAATATGAGCATCTGCACCAGCATGTAGTAAATTCTCCTTATTTGAGTCTGAAATTTTGGCCAAACATCTATTGGCCCAAAAAGTATGAACCATGTTACAGATAATGAGTCAAGTTCGTGACAGAAGAGAAAAGTTTATGGCCTAAAAAACTCATTTAAGAAAAAAGTCTAATATCTGGAAATCTCAGCAAAATGAAATGCTAGTGAGATAAAAAGACTGGAGCAAAAGTGCTTCTTTGGACAGCCTGGAGGAATATGAGGAAATGAGGGCAGAAGTGTTTTGCATGGTACTCGTTAAAGTTGAAACTAGTCTGAAACTGATAAATTCCCATTATCATCCCAACCTTTAAACGATTACACAAACTGTGAATGATAAAGA